GGCCGGCCCTCGCTCCAGTTAGAAGCAGGCAGGTCCTGTCTGCAGTCGCAAGCAGGCAGGCTCTCGCTTCAGCCGGGGCCGACTCCGCGCCCAAGGCCATCGAGGACGCGAGGCTGGACGGCGGCAGCGTGCTGGGGCTGGTGGCGACGGGGAGCAGCCTGGAGCGGCGACAAGGTGAAGGTGGCCGCCGTAACGGCTGCCGTTTCGGTCGAAGTCTCGGTGGCTGAGCGCACTGCACTGACACACTGCTCCCTGCTGCGCCGCGCAGTCGCCGCCTCGGCAAGCCACCTCGCCGGCGTGGGCGACCTGGGTGGCCTGGGGACCAAGCAGCGGCGCTCGCACAAGAAGCGAGTCGAGGAGGACGACGGCGACCTCCCTTTCGAAAAGCGCAAACGGGAGTGGAACTTCCGGCAAAAGAACACGTGGCGGATTCTGATTGGCTGGTGAGAGCTGCGAGCGGTGCTCATCGCGCAAGCTTGACCGGCCGCGACGTGGTGAAATGCAAAAGACCGTTGGCACTTGCAGGGTCATCTGCGTGGTGACCATCATCACGTGCTGCTACTTCACCATCCTGTACAGCCTCATGTACGGCTGGCAGAAGAGCTGGCAGTGGCTCTTGACCGCCGTGGCGTCGATAGTCCTCAGCATCGGCGTGATACAGCCGGTCAAGATGGCCGCCGTGGCCTTCGTGTTCGCGCGCTTCTTCGAGGTAAGCCAGGAGTCAGGCTGTCTGGTGCTGTCTGGCAGATGGAGCCGCAGGGGCGCCGCACGGCACAGCACGGCGCGGCGAGCGCCTGCGGAACCACGGTTAGGCCAGCCCGCCGCGCGCCGCTGTAGCGGGCTGGCCTACCCGTGGTTCCGCAGGCGCTCGCCGTGCCGTCCGAGGTGGAGATGGAGATGGCCTTCGCGCTTCGCGTTCCAGAAAGACGTGCCCCTGGAGCAGAAAGTGGCGCCCTACGCGCGCCCCGTCGCGCTGCCGCCGCTGGAGCCCCCGCAGTACCGCCGGGCGGGCGCCAACGCCAAGATGTACCGCCAGCTGACGCGGACGGAGGCGGAGGTACCCGACGTTCATCGCGACAGGACAGCCCGCTTTTCCTCAAATAAAAATCCATGCCGTTTACTTCGGGCAGGTTTTACTGGTGCTGCGCAAGCACAGGCGGCAGCTGACGTCTCGAGCCATAGACACGCTCCTCTGGGTGCTGTGGATCACCTTCATGTACTTGTGCGTGTCCATGGCCTCGGACACGCTCTTCTACTACATGCAGAAGCACGTCTCGGGCATGGTGCTGACCTCCACGTACACGCGCACCCGGCCCTTCGGACTGTTCTACGACGTCATGACGTGAGAGCCTTTCTGTCTCTGCTCGTGGCCACTCGCGGCAGTGACGGCGAACTCCCCACCAATGGATTGCTCTGCGAACGAGGAATCTATTGGTGGGGTCACTTGTTCGGTTCGAGTCCTGTTGGCCAAGGCTGGTCCACTGTGACAACTGTGGCATGCTGCCCTCAGGTACGGCGAGTTCTACGACTACCTCAACAGGACGATGGTCAGGTCGCTCCTGCACCGCAAGGTCCCTCAGAACGAGACGCCCGGTGAGCACGGCGGCGAACACCTCCGCGATGGCTGAACCGCCCGGAAGATCTTTGACCCGAGGTGGATTTGTTCGCAGACGTCTTGCACCCGTACGTCGCGTTCGCCGCGGACAACGTGACGCGAATGATTGGAGTGATGCGACTTCGACAGCAGCGGATGCAGAGAGAGCCCAGTCAGTGCGAGCGAGCCTGAGGAGAAAACACAAGGAAAAACGACTTTTGAATGAATGTGAATGAATGTGGCAGCCTGCCTGGTGGCCGGGCCCTTTCGGCGCCTGGGCCTGTCGTGCTACGGCGACTACTACAAGTCCCAGAGCGACCACTTCGACTACGGCGTGGGCTGGAACGGCAGCGAGTCCGCCACGAACGCCAGCACGGACGACATGTCGCTGGGCAAGCACGCGCTGGACATCTGGCGGCACCACGCCTCGTGGGACATCGACACGCTCTTCTCCATCGGTAGCTCTCTCTGTCTCTCTCGCTCGCATGGGGGCGCCCCGTGAGTGCGAGAGAGACAGAGCGACGAAATGATCCTTCGGAAACGGCCGGTGACACGAAAATTATGTCGTGGAGATGCCTCGCAGGCCAAGACACCCAGTTCCTCGGCGGCGGCTACGTGGCGGACCTGGGCCGCATCCTGCTCAACGCGGAGATCGAGCTGCGCTACCTGTCGTCCAACCACTGGCTGGACCGGCGCACGCGGGGCATGTTCACCGAGTTCATCCTGTACTCGCCGTCCACCAACATCTTCTGCGACGTCTTCCTGTTCCTCGAACGCTCCCCGGCGTCCTCCTTCCACTTCTCGTCCAAGGTAACAAAAAAAAAAAGAAACAAACACGAAACAAAAAAACGAACCCGAAAGATACTGAAACCCGCAGCTGTACGCGTACCGCCTGGGCTACACGTCGGGCCGGTGGACCGGGTCGCAGATCGCGTTTCTGGTGCTGCTGATCCTCGTGTCGTTCCTCATGATGGGCCGCGAGTGCATCACGCTGGCGCGCCAGGGCTTCAGCAACTACCCCTTCAACTGGTTCGACGCCTTCCTCATCGGCGTCATCACGCTCAACGCGGGCCTGTACTTCGGCATCAACTCCATCCTCAGCCTGGTGCTCGAGCGCATGCACCTGCTCGACCCCAAGATCTTCATCTCCTTCCAGGTGGGGTGACCAGGGCGGGGTGGCACAGTGGGCCAGAAGACCGGTGGAGGCGGCCAAAATCAATGACGAGTTTGGAAGCTTCAGAGTCGCTATAAAGGACTCGAACCTAGCTTGTGACCCCACCAATGGATTGCTCTCTGAACGAGAAACCGATTGGTGGGGTCACACGTTCGGTTCCGTTCCTGTTTAGCGACGACTCTGGAGCTCCGAACGCGTCCAGAGCTTTGACCGCCTCCACCGGTCTTTGGCCCACTGGGGATGGGGTGGAGTAGGGTGACTCCGACTCAACCGGCTCGCTCCCGCAGTTCACCACGCTGCTCAACTCGACGGTGCAGTTCGGGCTGGGGCTGCTCGTGGTGCTGGCCACGGTGCGCTGCTGGAGGGTGCTGAGCTTCGCCACGCACTTCCAAGTCGTCAAGATCATGCTGGTGGGCGGAGTGGAACACCTGCCGTTGTTTTGTCGCCTCTCGCGACCAGGAGGGATGCTGACGGTCTGACGGCGTGCCGCGGCGTGCCCGCAGAGACTGGCGTACGAGCCGCTGCTGGCGCTGCTGTCGTACCTGATGCTGGTGCAGCTCCAGTTCGCCGTGCTCTTCCAGCTCCTCATGGGCTCCGGCCAGGAGAACCTGCACTCGCTGCCCGACGCCTTCGTGCTGCTGCTGGCCTACCTCGTGGACTACACCGCGGACTACGACGAGTTCGATGACACCCGCCTCGACACGCTGCTGCCCTTCTGCTCGTACTGGGTGTTCGTCGCCTTCATGTACTTCTTCTTCCTCAACTTCTTCCTCGGCATCGTGTCCATGGCCTTCGAGTCGGCCGGGGAGCTCGTGCGCCAGCAGGTCGGAACGACTTTGAAACCGGCGACCGACATCGGAAGACTTGGACCAACTAACCGTTACTGCTTTGTAGGAAATCGAAGGGTTTTCCATGGCGAACCTAATCTGCGACGAGCTTCGCTACCTCCTTCACATCCCCGGGGGCCGTCTGCGCCGCGACAGCTCCTTGTACAAGCACATCAGGACCAACTTCATCCACCAGAAGAACAGGGTGAGGCTGTGGTCCGCGGCTTGCGCCACAGACAGATTCCGAGGGTCGTTTTCGTCGCTCGGCCTCTCTCGCACTCATGGGGCGTCGCGTATAGGTGCGAGAGAGACAGAGCGACCAAAACGACTCACGGAATCAGTGTGCTGCTGCAGGCCCGTCGCTTCATTGACGCCAACCCACTGTTGCATGCAGATCCACGGCGAGACGCTGCGGGTGGCGCGGGCCGAGCTGGGCACCATGAGCATGATGTACAAGCTGTTCACGGAGCAGCCCGTCTCGGACAGGGAGATGCAGGGCGCCATGACCATGATTGCCCTGACCGTGGCCACACCGCTCGAGGAGAAGGTGCAGTTCCCGGGTCCGGAGGTAAGCAGGCCGGCCGAGCGTGGTGCCGCCACGTGGTGCGCAAGCCTCAAGCAAGCAGTCGAGCGATTCGGAAGAGCGGCTCGCACCCTGACGGAGAGCCCCGCGGAGAGCCCCACGAGTGCGACAGAGACAGAGCGACGAAGCGACTCCTCCACGGTGATCCGCGCGTTCGCAGGTCCAGATGAGCATCGGCAAGTCGTGGAACGGGGAGGAGCTGCTAGAGCTGGACAAGCTGCACACCGTCATGGAGACGCTCAACAGCCGCAGCGAGGACCGCAACCTGGCCGTCGACCAGGAGCAGGTGGCGTCCCTGCGCAGCCTGCTCCGGGAGGCCTTGGGCGAGAGGCCGCCCCTCGCCAAGCCCGTCGTCATCAGGTACGAATGGGAGTGACCGATGCCGGCTGCAGCCACCGCGGCAAGTGTTTCATCTTGGACCTTCGGCTTCGGCAGGCTGCGGCGCGGCCCCCCGCACCACCGGCGCCCTGGACTCAGACTCGCCAGCCTGCTCATCCGGCGCCGGCGCTGCGTCCAGATCAGCTTCCGGCTGAGGCGGGTGCCAGCCCCAGCGCCATGGGCGCCACCCGCCGCCACGACTCAACCCCAAGCGTCACGCCCGACGTCCCCGCAACGCACGACGCGGCCCAGGCCACCCTGGAGGCCTTAGTGGTGACCCCCGGGCCGTCGGTTTTAACTCACTGACATGATTCGTTCTACGATTTAAAATAAAGTGCAACGTCGATAAATAGGATTCTGGGCCCAAACCACGTAACGTGCACGTATCGCGGTGCCTTTGAACTTTCGCGGTGTTTTCCTAACTTTCTCATAGATCACGTGACTGTTATTTTTCATACGGCGGTCTAACCAAACTTTTGCCCCTTTGCCGGGGCAACAGGAAAGTCTCACGTAAACAAAGAAAAACAGCTGTGTTTGAAGTAATTTTGTGATGACCGCAGCGCCTGAACAACTTTTATCAAGTTACATGATGGCCGCATTTTCTAGCGCTCAGTTTGTTACTGGGCTCGGTCTAGGTGTCGTTCTAGGAGTGTACCTCATGTCTCGCAAAGCGACTAAACGTGCTTCCAAACAGGAGGATAACGAAGATTCATCGGATTACACTGATGTCAGTTTCTAAAGTGTGGATTTAAATATTTGCTTTCATCATGCTGCCTTGATGCTTGATTTCTTGGATATTTATTATGCAGGATTCCTCAGATGACGAGGGAAACGACAAAGTCGGTGCCGACATGAAACTCATATTAGTAGTTCGCAATGATCTTAAGATGGGGAAAGGAAAAGCAGCTGCTCAGGTATATCAAAGCTAATTTAAGAAATAACTTTCTCATCTTAATAACTGGGTTTTTCATGAATTTCCTGTTACAGTGTGCTCATGCAGCAGTTAGCGCATATGAGCAAGCAAGGACCAGGAGACCGAAGACCCTGAAAGCATGGCAGAGGAATGGACAGCCCAAAATTGTCGTCAAGTGCGATAGTGAGGTATTGATGACTTAAACTGTATGTTCCAATAAATTATGTTTGGTAAGTGGGCACTAATTAAGGTGTATTGGCATTTCAGGAGGAATTACTGGAGCTTGCCAAGCGCTCTAAGGAAATGCATCTCATTACAAGTGTCATCAAGGATGCAGGACGTACTCAAATATCTCCTGGATCTCGCACTGTTTTGGGAGTTGGACCAGCAACAGCAAAAGATATTAATGAAGTTACAGGGCATCTAAAACTCTACTAGCCCCTTACTTTTTTTTTTCGTCAAACATGCATTTATTAGATATTATTTTTTATAATTTTTTAAAAGTATGGTGTTGTAATGAATTCTGAACCTCATTAAAATTTCTGACAGTTCAATTGTATATAACAGGCTTGGCAAAGAATACTTTTATTAAATAAAAGCAAAAATTTAACAAATCATAGAGTGAGACAGTGACCTTTTGATTGCAAATACATAGATGCAACAGGATGATATGTATATAATAGAAAGAAAAAAAAGCGTGCAGACACAGAATTCCAAAAATTCTTACTTCTGCAGATGAACACATTGGCAATTGAATCCTTGGTTCTTCCATATCTAGCGGCTCAATGATAATCTCTGTTTCACACTGACACTAGAAGTCTCCTTATCACTGTACATTCTCCCAGCATCAGAATTCCGTGGTTTTCTGAATGGTTTATCTGGGGTTGTCTTCACTTTCTTGTACAAAGAATCATCTTCCTTATTAGGAGTTCTAGCTATCTCTCCCAATCTGCCCTTTGAATAGCTGTCCATGCTTGAGTCTTCTTGTGGTTTTTCCCGACGTCTTGAATGCTTGAGTGGTGAACGTTTTAGAGGTGAAGCAAGCCTCCCTTTCTTTGTTTCTCTTCTATACACTGCCTCTTCTTCATCACTAGGCAAGTCCAAATAGGACTTTGATGGAGGACGGTTTGAATTGTCTCTTTGAAATATGCCATTGAGAGTGATAGGTTTAATTTCAACTGATTCGTCAGAAAAATCACTTATGTCTTCAGAGGGCCTTTTCTTGTTAAATGAAGGAAACCGCTCACTGACTATTTGAGGTTTAGCTTGACTGCTTTCAGAGGAATCAGAATCAAGGGGTTGTTTGATTGCAGTGCTGTAGGATCTATACTCTTCTTGTTGAAGTTTTTCTTCACTGCTGTACTTAGATGATCTCTTTTTTTCTTCCTTAACCTTTACTTGACTGCGACTTTTGGAAGACGATCTTCTCTTTTTCTTCTTACTTTTCTCTTCACAGCGACTTTTGGAAGATGATCTTCTCTTTTCTTTAGAAGCTTTTTCTTCTCTGTGACTTTTAAAAGAGGATCTTCTACTTTCTCTCTTGACTTTCTCTTCACTATGACTCTTGGAGGTGGATCTTAGTTTTCTTTCTTTCTTATATTTCTCTTCACTGTGACTCTTAGGTGAGGATCTTCTTTTGTGTTTCTTTGATGATGATGATGGGGGTGTAGTCACTTTCTTGTATTCCCTATCTGGTGAAGAGGATACAGATTTTGCTCTTTTGTGATCACGCAAATATCTTGAATTCTCCTTGCTTAATTCTTCCTCTTGGTCACTAGAAGAATAATATACTTTTCTATCCTCCTTTACCGAAGTTGAATGCTTGTCCAACTTTTTAGAATACTTTGAATGTCTTTTAGAGATTTTACTGGAATAAACTGAGCCCTCTAAAGAGAAGTCAGGATTTTGAGTTTTGTTGCTCTCATCTTGATCCTTTTCACATAAAAAGGGAATGGCAGGGAGCATGGATGTATCATACTTTCTTGAATCCAGGTTGTAGTTGGTTTGAGGGGACAGAAGAGAATTCCTCTTCTTAGGACTTGATAGGAATGGACAATCTCTAGAGAAAGAATTAAGAGTTTCAATATCAAAAGTATCATACTCTAGATCTGTTTCTCTGAGATTCACTGAGAAACTTGTTTCAGAGCTCAAGAAGCCAGAAGGCTTTTTCTTTGAAGGGGAACGGGCATTAAAGTCACCATCAGCGGTAAATTTTCTATCTTGAGAACTGACTGTCATATTTCTCTTCATAGGACTTGATTGGAATGGACAGTCTCCCGAGAAGGAACTGAGGGTTTCAGCATCAAGGAAATCATGCCCTAAATCTACTTTTCTGTGGATCAATGACAAACTTGTTTCAGAGCTCCTATTGGCAGAAGACTTCTTCTTTGGAGGAGAACGGGCATCAAAGTCACCTCCTCTTACAAATTTACTTTTATGAGGACTGCCTGTCATAAGCTTTCTTCTCTTTGGGGTTTCAAAATCTTCTTCAGCAGAATCCGTGTGGAATTTTCGCTTAGAATGCATGGTACTTTCTGGCAGAGAATATGGCCTATTTGGTTCAAAGAATTTACGGAAGTTCTCTCGAGATCTGTTTAGATTTGGTGTCACTGACTTCCGTTTCATATCTGGGATACTGTAAATGGTGATTTCCATACCACAGTTTTCAAATACTTCTGTTAGTAGGTGGAATACTGATGGCCACCTTAAACCGTCAAGACCACAGCCAATGCGAGGCATAGCTAACTTTGTGACACCTAACTTTTGGCATTCCTCTCTCATCGCCAAAAGAGAGCATTGCAAAGTCCTTTCAGTAGGCTTGTTAAAGTACCTTTTCTTTGTCACTAGATAAAATATAAATCTTTGACTATCTTTCAAAACGGCCACTTCTCCAACCGTTTTATTTTGACTCAGAAGATCATCTACACGCCCAAATTTTGACCTGCAATAAGCATAAGCACAAATTAATGACATTCATCTAAGATTGCACAGGCTTAAGAAGGTATTAAACAAAATGGTAAAAAATGAAAAAAAAAGTCGAAAAATTGCACGGGAAAATTGACCAAGACTCACCGAAAGTGTATCGCAATACCTGCTCCCATTTTCATGTCGGAGCTGACACAATGAGCCAAAGAGGTGTCTCGTCTCGCCGTGAAGAGATCTCCTTCAACTTCATGAATGATAGTTGGTAAAGACGATGACAATCTCCGGTTGGAGGAAAACCTCTCTAACAAAAAATTGGAAATTGGATGCCTTGAGATAGGTCCAGAGGCATAAACACATCAACGACACATACTCGCAAGTCAATATTACCTGAGTTGAACAGCGACATGACCATCGTTGGCCGACAGCAGATCGAAAACCGAGTCAAATGAGAGTAAAGCTGTTTACAGACAAATGACATAACCTGACAGAAACAAAAAGAATTGCGATGCAACGCGCTTTTCGCTGCGCCCGCTCATGCTGCCTCGTTTTATTGTTGTTGTTATTGTTGTTTGTCCCCACCACCACTATGCAAACAGTGCTGCCAGTCCTAGTTTTCTAACAAGAAAATCATTTGCATCAATGAAATTAATGCAGAGTCAAAGTCTACGGTATGCAATCAAGTAAAAGAAAAGAAAAACTTTACATGAAATTGAGCGTCCGATACACACCCAAGTGCTTCCCATGCCTCCCTATCCCCAACTTTCAAGAACTTCCGTTACCAACCTAAAATCGTATTGTTGGGAATGCCCATACAATTTTTCGTCTGAATTAATGAAAATACATAAGAACTCTTCATTCTGTTAGCATCACCCCTCCGATAATCAAATGAACAAAAACGTCCTGAGATGAGTGACCAGTGGCGAGACTGGTTGTTTGTTGGTTTTGTTGTTTTGTTATGCTCCTTGTTGTTGCTTGTTGGGGCGGCGGCAGCTGCGGCGCGGCGCCTCGTGTTTCACCCACTGCCACCAGTTGCCAGGAATTGCCAGTGCCTGCCGGTTGCCCTTTTCAGTCGCTTTGTTGACGATCTGACAGAGAACGTCAGTGAAGACTGAAGACTGAAGATGATGAGTTCGATGAGTGTCCGTCCGCCGTCCACTGAGGAGGTGAGGGCGGCTCTGGAGAAACGAATAGGACCGAATACGGGATACGTACTATCACAAGTGCACGGGCAAAGGAAGCTCTTCAACCCCCTGTGGAAGGAGGAATTTCAACCCCGAGAGGGCTCAGAAGTCTTCGTTGGAAGACTCCCTAGAGACCTGTATGAAGATGAGCTGGCGCCGCCCTTCTTGGAAGTGGGGCCGATTTATGAGATACGTCTAATGATGAACTTTAGCGGAACGAACCGCGGGTTCGCTTTCGTATCTTATTTCAACCCTGAGACTGCTCAACGGGCGGTGGAAAGACTCAATAATTTCCAAATTAGGAAAGGGCAATTGATAGGAGTCTTGCCTAGCGTGAACAACAGGCGACTCTTTATTGGAGGGCTGATGGCCTCAGCAGGCCTTGTAAGTATCTTGGAATGTGTTTGGTGTTTCCCATGTCATATCCCTTCACATTGTTTACTGAATTGCTGAATTTGTCTACCTGCAGGAAAATTTCCTCCGCTCATGGCTCCATCAAGTCACTGAAGGGGTCCAAACCATTAAGGTGTTTCCCCCAGGGAGAAGAACCCACCTTGAGGAGGCCTATGTGCCCTACAGATATGCTGTTGTAACGTACACCTCTCACAGGCAAGCCGCCATGGCCAGGAGGTCCTTGATTCCAATCAAGAATGAAGTCTTCGGCCCTCAAGTAGTTATCGACTGGGCTGATCCCAATCGCATGGAGGCATCAAGAGGTCATCAGAATGCCTAGTGTAATTTTAATGAAGTCCCAATCTAGATGTATTTTTATGTTTTTACCATGCTTCCTGTAGCACCTAGTTTTTATCATATACTTTTACAAAGGATAGCCTTGAGGTAGGACAATTAGATGAACCATTAACTTCAATATTTTATTGTTTATACCTAAACTTACATTATCACAGTTTGAATCACTTTTATATTAATTACAATATAATGCTATTTTTTTTCCAAATAAACAGCTATGTACTTACTGGTCCAATGATTACACATACTATAAACACACATCCAATGTTACAAATATTCAACTTAGGAGACCACTGATGAGCAACAAATCACAAGGATGCCTCAAACCAGAACTTGCGCGTTCATGAATAACAGCCTGTCATATATTAAATTGATGACATGTCAGGTTAAAATTAATTGTTTAAGTGAAAGTCAATCCTGATAGTTATACTAAACAGTGGTATACTTGTGACCCACAACATTTAAAAAAGATGGCATATCTTTCCAGTCTTTCTGCTCACAAATAGCAATAAGTAATAATATAATACTTCATCCGTCACACCAGAAGAATTTGACACAGCCTTATACATATCTTTAAACGTCAAATTGCATACTGCCAGTAATGGCTTCAGAAGCCATTCTGGTCTAGTTCTGTTACCAGAGACCACCTTGGTGTCCTAGTTTCCTTACCACAAAAGTTACATAAAGTAAGCTGAAAGTGATCAGTGAAGAATTGTGAAACAAATTAACAAACAAGGAAAACTACACACAAGTACACACACTGCACTCTAAGCAAACAATTACAAATCCACAACAAGTCAAAGCTTAAAAGTATTCCGAGCTCCAGTTGGAACTCGAAAATAGACCAAGAAAATGCAACAACACACATAAAATGTTCATAATCAAAGATTTTAAAAAGGACTTGCCTCATTAACCGACTGGTCTGCATTTAAATTCCTATGTTGAGATCCACCGTATTTTTAAGTTATATTACAGTATTTTAGACACATGGAATGCACAAGAGTAATTAGAAAGAAATTTTCTCAACTATTTTTAAAATTTGCCTCATCTAGGCCTTCTTATTCAATGTCTCTTTCTCCAAAACTTTTGGCAAGGGAGAATTTACACCCATGTCCTGGTTTAAATTATCCTCTTCTCCATTAAGTCTCCTGTGTTCACATCTCCAGTTCTCTGCAGACTTTGCAGCTGATTTATCATTAATGACATCTCTGTAGATAGGGAGGACAAATGAGAATAGAACATAAATAATAACTTAGATTTTGCTAAATACCTTTTACCACTTACCTGCGACGCCAGTCTACTTGATCATCTCTCTGATTTGTGCGGGGATCTTTTTTAGGAGACTCTTTTCCGCTAAAAGTTTTTTTGCTATTTCCTGGTAATTTTTTCTTGCTTTTCGGAGAGCTTTTGTCTTTCAAATTTTGCCAAGTCACAGTATTGAAGTCAACAGCATCTAGAGTCACAGTAGATTCCCAATCATTGTCAGCAGCTATGCTAACCTGCAATAATACCATGTTTTTTTAGAAAAAGGTCTTTAGAAACAGGAGGATGAAAAGGATATTAAGTAAAGATAAATATTTCTGCAATACAACTGAGTTAAGTCATTCAAGTATACCTGAGAGGGAGGAAATGTGTGGGAAATATGGTAATATGGCTTAAAGACTGGTTCATGGCGAACAATTTGCATGGCAAGCCAGGAGTGGAGCAGGAGACGAGGAAAGCGGTCCATCCAGTACATTACAAACTGATCTGGTATTGTTCCTAGGCTCCTTTGTGCTTCTAAGGATAATTCTCTATAATGGTGTTTCTACAAAATAGGTGGAAACATACACATTAATTTTATTTTAAAACACTACTTTTCAAAGTTTTTTTTTCCAAAGACTTTTATGAATACCTTATTTCGCAAAGCTCTCAACAAATCTCTGACACTCAACCCGCGGTAGTTACGGTAACGGCGCAGATCTTGGGCTACTTCATCCGAAATATGCACTCTCCAGTCACCTCTTACCACTCTGGCACCATCAGCCTCCAGGGCCTGAAGTGCAGTGCTTGTTGCTGGCTCATCTTTTTCCACCCGATCACTGACATCCTACAAATGAGAAAGTTTGAAATATTATGAAATGCCTACAGAATTTTTGATTCTCCAACTGAAAAATAAAATAAAAACAAACCTGGAAAAACGACATTATTTTTGCTCTGCTCCAAAAGAGAGGGTGTGACAGGACAGCCTCAGCAGGTGGGCGCTCCAGTGGTTCCCAACTTAGCATGCATTTTACTAAGGTGCCGGTTAAGAGCTGGTCAAGTTGAGAACTGTTCAAGTCATTCAGCCTGTGAAAACAATAATAATAATAATTGTATACATCAAAGTTGAAAGCAACAACAGACATACCTGAAGAAAGGCAACTTTCTGCACAACATACCTGGGTTCTCCACTCAAAATATTAGCTTGCCTCCTAAGCGGATCACCAAATGGGTGCTTTCCTGATGTTTTTACATAGTAAAGCACACACCCCATTGAAAAGACATCAACTGCACAAGTCTGGTAATAAAAGATAGAGTCAAATACAACAGCACTGACAAATCTCTTACTGATTAGTTCATGAAACTGCAACCCCCAATAATAATAAAACTTATAGATTACCGTGCGCCCAGAACCAGAAAGCATTTCAGGAGCTATCCAACCATCAGTGCCAGTTATACCGGATCTCCTGGAGAAGGACATCCGTCCTTTCTGGAGTTTCTTACACAGACCAAAGTCAGATATCATAGCTCTTACTTCCCCATGGGCGTTGGGGACTGATAAAAGAACATTTTGAGGCTTAATGTCTCTATGAACTGTTAAAAAAAACAAAGCACAATTGTTATAAAACACACAGCACAGAAAATTAAAACAAGACATTCCTATGAATTGCACTTGAGTTGAAATCTTTACCAATGTCAAGAGAATGCAAATGTGCCATTCCTGATGTAGCCTGCCTTATTATTTCAGTTGTGGTCAGCCTTGCAGGAAGATCAGTGCTTCCTAAGACAATGCGACCTTCAACCAAATCTGCCAGAGTTGCAGCAGCTAACTCTAGGGCAATGTACCGGAAAAGGTGATCCTGCTCTGTGCAAAAATATCTTATGACATTAGCATGCTGGTCGGATTCTCTGAGCAATGCCACTTCGCGATCTGCCAGCGAAAAGCATTCTGGCAGTAGCCTCTTGACAGCTACATTGCGTCCATCAAACAAGCCACTGAAAACAAAATTAATTTTTAAAAGGTAAAATCAAAATTTAGGAAATGGATAAAAAGTAGATAGTGACAGGACATTACAGTCTTACCGATAAACAAACGTGCCTTCACATCCCTTCCCAAGAACTTCAGCTGTGAAAAATGTAATTTTTCCCACACAAACACCTCGCCCATGTAATTCAGATGGTTGAGTGAAGGACTCCACTTTGCCACTGTGAGAACTCTGAGACATTTGGTGAATCTCCCGCATCTATTGACGACCATGAGAAGACCAATGAGATTAAACAGAGTAGCTTACAGCTGATAAATTATTACACATCAAGATTCTCACCTTTCCTCGTACGTAACAAAATAAAGCTGCCATAGATATAATAATAAGTGCCATAGCTATTTTCAATGATTTATTTTCTTGTTGAGTTACCCAAATTTTAAGGCCAGAGTACATAAACTGAATGCATTCTGGAGTGAGCACAGTGGAGAAGTTGCCTCTAATCACCTACAAATGATGATGATGTTCGTGAACAAGGTACATGCTATAACAACTTCAGGTAAATTTGGCTAAATTGAGAGGCAAAGCAACATACCTCATCCCAACAAGAAATATCAGAATTTGGAGTGGTCTTTACTTGGGGGGACACTGGTTTGGGGCTATGTGGCCCCCTATTGTCCTCATGGCTATGTTCACCAGTTTCATTCTCCAGCTCCCAATCAAAATTTACAACATGCCTAGGTAACGGAATCATTGCACTTGTTTTCTGTCCATCAGGCACAATTGCTTCACTGAATGATGGTGTTTGATAATGACCTGTAAAAAATAGGAAGTACAAGTGAGTCCCACCATAAAAACATTTAGATAATAACTGCCTGGACTGGATCTTACCCAGAATGATGAGAGGATAGGAAGGAGTCACATCTATGTCTTTCCTTGCTGGCAATACATTATCCAAGTTACTTTGGAGGTCCTTCAAATTTGAGCTCCCAGGATTGTGTTGTGTGCTGTCACCAACATTGCCTGCAGTGGAACCTTCATTCGGACCCTCAATCAATAGTGCCCCAAAGTTCAAATGATTCACGGTGGCAACACTTTGATCAACAAGTGAAGGGAGAGCATACAAGCCAAATGGATGTTCACCAACATATAATGTGGACCTACAAAAATAAATTGTGACAGACAAAAATGCAAAATGCTTAAAAAGTAACAACATTTTCTAGCACTCTCCAAGAGGGAGCTCCTCCCCTCCCATCCCCCCAAAAATAGGAGGAACTTACTTAAGTTTCATTTGGTCTGAACTCAGCCAGGTTGATGGAGCTGTTGACTTGAGCTGATCAGCCAAAGCATCAAGGGTCTCTTCAGCAACACTTGTAAAGGGGCAAGATATTAGTCCCTCTGTATCAAGGAGATAAACTCCTATAACTGGTGATCCATAATTACTGGACCAGAGATGACGGTGAGTCCGTCGATCCATGGTTATGACCCGACCAGAGGAACTACCCATGAAGTGAACCATTTCTACAAAAATATTTGAAGTGTAATAAAGTAAAAATCTACATTATTTGATGTGCAATAAAATGCTATTAATTTAATACCCACCATAATTACTCAGCAGTTCACTATCCATTGTGTTTGCAGAGTAGTCAAAAAAGGTCACATTCCATTTGCGTTCTTTCTGCTTACTATCCAGCATAATTATGTTGTATTCTAGACCAAACCATTGGAGTCAGATTTTAAAGGGGAAAGAGACAAATCCAGAAATTCTAAGACTATGAGCATGCAAATGTTTGAATGTGCATGTACATTCTGAGATGCCAGTAAAATTATATTAATAACAATTTTTAATAAAATTATTACCTGTCCTGCCTATATAAAATGAATTGCCATTGGAGTCTGTCAATGGACAGACATGCTGTCCATCTGAACTGAGCACAGGTTGTTTTTCACCTGTCTTTGAATTGACAGAAAACCATGTATCCATCTTTTTCCCTGAAGAATGTAAAGATTAATTTTAGTAAAATTAAATTAAGGTATAAAATAAATGACTCTTTGGCAAAACAATAAGAATTTTAACAAATGTGGTCTCAAGGAACATACCAGTGTATAAGATTCCATCCGAACTACGACATGGAGACTGGGCCACAAGCTGGGGTATTGTAAAAGGCAATTTCTTCAATGCTTCTCTTTCAGATCCACCCAAAACATATAATGAGCCATCTTTTGGGTCAGGTAAAAATATTGGTCTGATGAAATGGAAGGGAACACTTGATTATTTACTTTGAAGGCAAATTTAGGAGCTGTTAAAGATAGTTAGGTGTTTCAGATACTAACGTTACTGCTTTCGATGCATCAACAGGAACTTTAACAACAGGTTCTAAAACAAGAAAAGAAAACATGTGACACATGTGAAAAGGTAGTTGAAAGTGTCAAATATTGAGGCATTTACCATCTTTTAACTGCCACTGAGTGATACCGGTGAGACGATCAACAGCATACAATGAGCCATCAAGTGTTGATAACAACAGCAGACGATCATCTTGGTATTCTCTTACAAGACTAGTGCTAGGGGTCTGTAACAAAGAATGTAGTAAAGTAAGCCAGCTCAGACAAGATCAAAAACATGAACGATTTGGGTAAAAAAATGGGTGCCGATCTCAGAGAATTAAAAAATACTAACGGCCAGTGGACTGGTTGTAGCCGTCACTCTCGCAAGGGCGAAGAAGATTGTCAACAACACCATTCCAAGCTTCATGTTGCCTTCTTGTAAAGTCATTCTTAAACATGAGTGCCCATGCATTCATTCTTTCCACAGAAAATCAGAAAAGTGACATAAATGACCAGGTTATAAACCCCTTGTCACTTTCAATGTCATACAAGACATGATTGATGAAAACAGAATGTGAAAGAAACATCACTCTTTCTTGTCCTGAACCATTGGCCATACCACAGAGTCAAGAATGTATGTTATCAGCTGTAAGTTCCATTGGGCACAAATATTCAAGGCAAATGTCTTCTTTCATCATACTTGTTGCGATCAGTTCTCGTCTCTGTTCGGGCCACACAAATTCTTTGACACTTATGGAAATCACTCCCAGCCAGCATAGGCTAAGTTTAAAAGGAGATGCAAATAGCAGAAGGTATTTGGATGTTCACAATCTGTTGGCGTAATTGCATTTGTTGTGGTGGAGCACCTAGGAGAGGTAAGAGCGGAGCACTTCACTTATCCTTAGGGCGACAAATCACCGACTTACTTGTTTGTCATTGGTCAGCTGCAATAACAATGGGCAGTTTTATTGCCAACCTAGAACCGAATCGCCTATCCTAATCAACCCCTCTCATCTAAAATCTTCGCGGGGAAAAGTGTCCAAAATCTACGAGACATTCACGAAACGTTAAATTATATTTCGCTCTTCGTTTTAAGAAAATCCAAGAGATACTCATTCATAATTTTAGTAACATCAAGTTTTATTCTGGAGAAACTGCGAAGCTGGAAATATTGGCTATGAAAAGTTTCTGGTACTATGTACCGATTTACCGTCACTCCGCTGTCCGAACCATTGGAAGAAAATGTAAACGAGTACCATATTCAGCTTTAATTTTCACTAAAAACTGTTTAATATTAGAAGAAAGCAACTGAAAAGCCGTGAAATCGGACATACGTCAAGCTCACAACTTGAGTCAGTGCAGGAGGAATTCTCATACATCTGTTGTCCCGCAGCCATCGAAAAAACAAAGCGGCCTTAAGAGCGGTGCAGTGCAGTGGCGGTTGCAGTTGATGCAGTACTTCGCGCTGGAGGTGGGCGTTACTTGAACTCCGACAACCTCTTCAAACTCTTTCAATCAATATTGATTCCTAATTGATCTCGTTATCACTGGCGCCCACGGTCATAGCAAGCTCTGCCACGTTTGATCTCTTGTCAGTCGTCCGAGAAAGCTGTTTCAAGGACCTTATCACTAAGGTGTGGCTCAAGGTAACATCAGAGTTGCATTGCAGCTGTCTTGTCAAAACATGTCCAGGAATTAATTGGTTTCCTTTCTCCGTGTCGTAGTTGTTCTTCTTGTGTAGGACTTTCCTTTTTTGCTTCCTGTCTATATTTCCCTCTTATTGGCCATGGTATGGTAGATGACTAAGCTGGGGTGATGATGACTCACATGAGCTCATCTTAAAGCATGAATCATGGCCCTAGTTTCCATATTTTGTTCCCAGCCTTCTGATCTGAAACTTTCTGCCCAGCTTCCTAATATTACTGCACACGTTCAGCATCAACATATACATTGCAAGATTAAACTTAAGACTCAAACTGGTGTTTAATGATAATGATTGACATTTTAAAACTGTTTAATTGACGGAGGCTCCTTCTTCCATTATAGGTGTTTATTGTCCACAGTCTAAACAAAGATAAATAAAAATGGAGGAATCTCCTGCAGGTAAAGTACTTAATTATGGTCCTTCAGTCTAATTCATAAGTTGTTCCCTCTGTCAAGTTATCTTCAATTTTGAAATTGCAGATCAAATTGTCATGACTCCCAAATGTAAAACAGCCAACTCCACTACACTAATAATTGAAAGAAAGAGTAAGGCAACTCTGAATGGCGATGGAACAATGCATGTTGCTGGAGGAGATCACAAAGGCATTGTCATTAATAAAACTGCTCAGAGTGGTAAGTTTTAATCTGTTTTAAGTTAACTGCCAAGCAATTTTGTTAGACTAACATTAAATTGCGTGTGGTTAATCGTTCATGTCCAAAATGTGTTTCAGATCTTGTGTGTGACATACCAGCACAATTATCCCTCGAGTTCCGTGTCTTCCTTGTAAACGCACAAACAGGAAACCACACCCAGGAGAGCAGGTTGCTCCAGTTCTGGTTCATTTCTTCATTACCTGATTGGCAACAGCCTCAAGTTGCCCAAGAGTTTTTCAAGGAATTGGTCAGCCCTCAAGAATTTCCAAGAGGTAAAAATTCTTTCTGTTGAAGTTCTGGAATTTCCTTTTATTTTTATTGTATCTCCTTCTATCTCAACTTTCATTCTCAATTTACAGACTATGTTGGTTTCATAAAAAAACTTATGAAGTTAATGCAGCACCGTTATCCCAGCATTCGCCGCCTTGAGATTGAATTGCGGCAACTTGAGTCGGCTGCTCCACCAACAAGACCTTGTAAGCCCCTCAAGCAGCACATTTTAAAAATTGATACCTATGTTTATTTATGTTGATGTTATCTCTCAGTGTCAGCTGACGAAAGCATTCTTGGACAACAAGTAGAACTAACAGAGGAAAAGGTTCTTGAGCTGATTGAGTCATCCTATCCTAATCCGATCACTCTTCAAGATATTGCAAAGTAAGCACCCATAATCTCTTCTTTGACACCTGTTAAGTTAAAAGAGAGAATGCCAATCTTCATTGTTCTGCCCCTTCTAGCTCACATGGGTGGGAAGTGGAACTGGTAGCATCATGCATAGATCAGCTTCAAACAAAAGGGCTTGTGAAGGCTCTTGAACATGGGGCTTATACTAGAGTTGGACAGGCAGACTCAGAAATACAGGTATGCTTGCCATAAAAAAAATGATTGCAATTTTAAAGCAAGTTTTAAAACATTTTCTAAATTAATGATTTTTGTAGATTGTCAAGCAAATGCCAACAATGGTAAGTGCCAAACAGCCCACGATTGCTGTCATAACTGCACAGTATTGCGAGAAAATTGCAGTAGATGCCATGCTTGAGAACAAGGAAACATTTGTGCGGTACACCACTGTGGGTAAGTCAAGATTTTGTGGATTTTGTAAGACTTTTTTAACCCCCTTTCTTTTTTCTTTTTTGATCTTATTATTTTCTTGTAATATAATAGCTGATATTGGCTGTGGCATGATTTGTTTATTAGGGTATTTTACTCCTATCCTCTTAACATTGTCTTTTCTAGGGTAAGCCGTGCAATTAATGGTGTGTCAATTGTTTCTCTAGTGAGCCCTTGGCATGATTAGCGTACTTTGTCTGGTGCCACTTTCTAGGATGAATCCACCTCTAACTCTCAAGTTTTGTTAATGCTTGATTTCAACCAACAGAATGTTTTCTTGTAATGACTCAAAAATTTTCATGCACGTGTTTGAAATTTGATTTTCTTTCTGAAGCATGACTGACTAGTTTCTTACAGTAATGCATGAATTCTCTGTAATCTTCTTGAGTATGAATCTGTATGCTTTGCACCTACTCAGTTTTGAGTATTACACTTCTTCAGGTCTTCCAGCTGTTCAACTTCCTGATGGAACTTTTTATAAACCAACTCGATTTGGTAAGCTCCTGATTCTTGAGGCGATGAGCTGTATTGTGCATGGCTTCCTTTTACTTGCATCAATTGACGTGGGTTTTGTCTGTGGTAAAATGTCCTATCATTTTGTGATCTATATTCAACTTCTTTACAAATGGTGCCCAATTGTGTGGTTTATGAGCTGGATTATCCTGTTTGTGTTTTGGGAAATCGCTTCTGGTATTATTGTGTATTGTCTCTCCTCGTCCTCACCAACTTGACAACAATGACATGGTCTTCAGGGTACTGTTATTTTGTTCTGTGATTAGGGTGGCTCTGGCCTACCCTCATTTCATGCTTTTCTGCTTCATGTCTACGTGCAGGGCGTTTTTGTGCATATTGTGTGTCTAAATGTTGGTTTGTGTAATGGACTATTTTTACAGCTTCTGAGGTTTCAAAATGCCTGTATCTAGTAGTATTTCTTTTTTTGTAATATTCAGCATTGGTTTTACAGGAGAATCCAACGTTTATACTTTGGGCAATATTGGTGCCCATCGTATTGTGAGCACCAAGCTTCCTAGTGTGGGTCACACCAGAGAGGCCATGACAGCTGCAGGGAATACCACCACCAGATTGCTAGGTAAGTTTTGGCTGGTTTGCAAGCCAAAGTTATTATTTATCACAAATCAGATTCGACTTTTAACTTACCTTTAATATGTTTCAGGAACCTTCCAGAAGGTGGACTATGTTTTCCTGGTGGGTGTTGGAGGCGGTGTACCTCATTACACTGACTATTCCAAGCATGTACGATTGGGTGATGTGGTTGTTTCTCATCCTAATAATAACTCAAATGGTAAAAAGAAGTATGTCTACACCTACTGTGGATATGTCAGATGTAATGAAGCTGATGGAGATTTTGAATTTGAGACAAAGGAGTATTGTCCGAGCAACTTGGTTCTGCAGTCCATTGCAGCACAACTCAAATCTCAGGTTAATAATAATTTTTCTTTGAGTTGTCCTCCCATAGATGTATTCAATCTGATTTGGTATCTCCATCTTTCTTCAGGAGGAAGAATCTGTACCTTGGATGCAATACTTAAATGAGGGCCTGAAAGGCATTACTTCCAGTGAACATGAACATGATTTTTCAAGGCCAGATTCTGAATCAGACAAGCTTTTTATGTCTATTGGGGAACGGGATGTAATTGAAGTGGCTCATCCATCTCCAGCTGAAGGGGTTACCAAGAGGTAAGAATTTGGCCTGCCAACCGTTGCCCAATTTGCTGACGAGGTCTCAATTTGAATTTTTTTCTCAGGCAGGAGGGATGTCCTCGTATTCATTTAGGCTCTATTGCCTCTGGCCGCAAAGTTGCAAGAGAGGACATGCTGCGACAAATGTTTTCTGCCAAATACGGTGCCCTGGCATATGACTGTGAATTTGATGCTGTGATTGAGAGTGTGCAAGGAAATTGTCGAGACAGCTTTGCAGTAAGTGTTAAATTTCCTAATACTTATCTTGAATGTTCCTGAGCATCGAAATAGTCTAATTTATGGCTGTTTGGCAGGTATTGAGAGGTATTGCCGATTACAAGGATGGCGCTCGTCGTTCTGAGTGGCAGCCTTATGCTGCTTTGGCTGCTGCAAGTGTCATGAAGGCTATGATCTGTGGTCTCGATGCACCATCTGACGCATAAAGCCATTTTTATTGCTTTGTATTCTTCGCATCACAAGAGCTTGCCTCCTTTTTTTTGAAAAATATTTATAATGTTAGTTGTAGTATGTTTCTTAGCAGTAGTACTTTGCTCCATTCAAGTAAGTGGCAGCGCTAGGAGAATGTCCAATGCAAACAGCAAATTTGTGAATTAAAATCTTGTTTTTGTTCTCGTCAGTAATGGGATAGAAAAATATTGTCTGAATGTCTCAATGTTCTATTGAAGTTGCTCTTATTCAGTCTTTTGACCTAATTCTTTTTGTACCATTACTTAAAATAGTATTTATTTTGATGATCTTTTACAATTTATTAAATATATGTAAGTAAATGTCACAAGCTGCACACTGCCTGGAAGAGAAAATATGTTGTTGGGACTGACACTGAACTGAGTGGCCTTTTAGAATTCAAAACAGGGTGATGATTGATAGACTTAACTCATTACACAATTTTTTCTTCCTTTCAACTTGTGTGTGTCTTTTTTTTTTCAATTTTCTAGAATACTCTGTTGTTGTGTTGTCTGCTGTGTCTTATTGGTGTCACATTCCACATGCGTCATCTGAACTTTAGTTATGGGAGAAGAGAATGTCAACCAATCACATGGATTATTTCAACACTTATGAATCGTACTTTGTTAGTTCTACATCATGGATGACAATCGAAAAATTAATTTGTATCTTGATAGGGTAGAAGTGTCGTGGTTGATAAATCAGGAGATTACTTATTTGTTTTATTTATTTACAGCTTTGTAATGTTAGGGCGTATGAGCTCATGTAAGTTATGAAAGTATATATTCATTCATTGAAAAATTTCTGCTCACAACGAATATTGTGCATCTATTACATAGTTGTGTACTTTCTAAGTTCTTTCAGGCATGACAGGTTATTTGATGTCATAGCAGAATTATTCTCCAGCAATGTTGTAATACGTAACGTAGTGGAATAGTTAGTGTACAAATCACAAGTTTTTACCTCTAACAGTAATTGTGATGAATGTTAAAATTCAGGAAGTCTTTGCTATCTTTTGATAGAGAGTCTAGAATTTTGGGCTCAGAATTTTGTGGTACATTTTGTATTCTGGGTGACATTGTGGTCCTAGTCAGTCGTCTGGTCTGTTCCAATTTATTCTAGTGGTACTGTGTGGAACTTTTACCATTTTTATCCGATGTGTATTTTGCGGTGATGCTTGCATGAAAATCGGAGGCCAACATACCTATTACTTTATTACTCTAGTGGTTTATGGTTTAATTTTTTGTTTTTTCCCCCTTCTCTAGTCGACATTTTTGGGAGCTTTTGTGTTTTTCTTGACTTGTTTTGATGTTGACAGCTCATTTTTATTGATAGCCAACCTGTTGAATTTGAGCACTTTTTAACACTTCATGCCATGCATATGAGAAGTTAAGTTTCACATTCTTAACTATGTTACTGTCTAATGGGACTGGCAGGCCTCATATCTTGCCTTTTGCTATTTTATCTATTGCCAACTCCTCCTTTTTGCTAACTAGACTATTCTTCTGAAATCAAATTGCAGAGTTACCCCAAAACTGTTACTTGTTTGTTACTTGTTTGAAATGACATCTCAACTATTTTTCTGGCATGCAAACATTAGGTTGTTGAAACCTTTAAGAAGATTGCCTTGTCTAGCTTGTGTTGCTCTTGTTTGATTTATGTGATTTTTAGTATGTACTTTGATTCTTTTTAAATTCCATGACAAGCTGTGTTACTGTGCCAAGTTGGGGAATGCATTTGTTACTTTTGCACACAATCTTAAAGTATGTGTTTTCTTTTGAGATTGTATTCTGTTGATGAATATGTGTATGGTATTTGATCTCAGAAGTAGGCTTTAAACCAAAGGATCTTTTTTGAGCAAAAGACAAAAGTTTTCTTTCTCATGGTGAAAAGAATGTTCTGTAGGCTTATGTCATCATCTAATAACTGGTGATAGATTTCCTCTATTTATTTTCCTTTCTATTTTGTGTATCTATATTTGTGTTTTTCTCGTGTTAATGGCTGTGCAGAGTCTTTGATAGAGACTTACTATCAACTTCTCTGGGCACTACAGCCTTTTCTCAAACTTGTACAGTGTTTTTAGGGAAAGTAATCTCTAGGCTGTTAGAAATCCTAGGTTTTCAACTTTTCTTGTCTAGCAGTACATTTACATACACATTCACAAATTAATTCTGGAAACCTGTTACCTAAGTTCCTTTCTGTATGTTCCTAGTTCCTGGGGTCAAAACCAAGTGTAAAGTGAGGAAGCTTTTTGCTTTGTTTGGCGGGTCTTTCATGTTGTGGGCTTTGTCACTTGTAGAAAATCTCATTTTTGTATTAAATCTTGCCTTGTGTACCTAATTTTACTTTCAGAACAATATTATTACATTATTACTATGACTCTTACATATCCAAATGTAATAATTATTCCATTTATGTTTTCACTATAAATGAGTCCACTTCTTATCCTCCCTGTATTATTGAGGGAAAAAATAAAACATTTGCACTTACATAGTTCTTCTTTTCTTTACTTGTGTTTGTATGTTCACATCTCGTCACAGAACACTTGATTGTACATCACATTCCATTAAGAAAACAAATTTTACTATAAGGAACAAGTGACATGCAGCCATGCTAGTAACATTTTGAATGTATAACATGTAAATAACTTTGGTTTATTGCCAAGTATTGTTATGTATGTCAGGGTAATCAGGTACTCTAAGTCTAATTGTGACAGTCTTACACAATAAAGGTACCGCAGGTTCATTCTAGACACTCATGTGTGTAAAGCTTCATAACTTTGCTCTCAATGCATAAAGTTAATTGATATTTTCATTGTTCCAATCATTTATTTAAAAGAACTGGAATCATTGTGGTAGACATCTTTTTTGATAAATTTTTACAACAAAGATAACACTAAGTCTGAAGGGCACTGCAGCTACCTATTTTACTTTATAATTTAATAAAAAGTTAGTTTTGAATGAGATAAAACAGCTTAAATTTAAAAACTCTAGCTGCCTTCTTTTATCATAAATATTTCATACCTCTCAATCGATTTTTGTGCTGAGGACGGGCTATCCTGGTGACCCCATTCAGAAATTCTGACTTTCTTCACTTCAGACCGAACAGTGGCCAAAGGAAGCAAATAGTAACAAGCTATCTGGGGGTCATCAAGTCTACACGGAACAAATAATAATTTTTAAAAAAGGACTGAAAGAACGGAGGCAATAAATTCGCTGATGTCTCTTTTCTCTTCCAAAAATGACCTTTGTCTGTCTGCAGACTTCGTACCCACTGTGCTGAAATTAGTGTAGTATTCTGGAAAAAATGGGTACTGCATTCTCAAATTTTGTTGTCAGAAACGCCCATAATGTTCTGGCATTGTTTGAAAATAACATGTTTTACCAGCTGGACTGAGACTTCCAAAACTTGATTTCTCTTTGCACATTTGCTTGCCATAAAATTAAGCTTCTTGGCTCTAAGTCTATTCGGGAAGTTATGGCTCTTAATTTTTTTTCTACAAGGTTTTCTTTACTTGTCTAGTTAAATATACTTTACAAAAATTGTATGTGCATCTTGTAACAATTTATTAACAAATTTACACTTTGATTGGTTCAGTATTTACACACAGATTGGTTCTGATTAGGATGAGTTGATGCAAGAGCGCTAAGATACAGCACTGCACTTGGTCTCTGCATCAATCGCAGCCACTAATCATCAGGGAATTCCATCCCCACATCCACATCACAGAATCCTGCTACTCGGGCGGCTCCCCACCGCCTGGATCCCAACCCCTTTTCATGAAATTAATTTTTCTTTTCGTTTGTCCTGGACAATGACAGTACCCTCTGGGTGCTATGGGATATTCAAACGAGGATGAAAGAAATACTTCAGGAAGAGGGGTGCAGCAAACGATCGAAACACGGGGCATTCCCACAACTTTGGACTTCCCTTCACACTTAAGTCCTCCAGTGTGCCACGGGAAGGAAGTTGGGTGCGGCCGCCCCGGCGTGCGGCGTTGTGCGGTGACGGTTGAAAAAGGGAAAGGCTACACTTGAGTCCACTCGGTCCACACCGACGTCCACACCGCAGCCTGCACTGTAGGGGTAGGGCTCAGAGCTGGCGGCCCCTGCCTGCCAGGTGACGGTTGTTGCGGCGCCGCAGCGTGGCGCGCCGACCGCACAGCAGGCGCTTGAAAGCGTGCCGGAACTCGGGGCTGAAGATGGTGTAGATGATGGGGTTGAGCGTCGAGTTGAAGTAGCCGAGCCACAGGAAGAAGGAGACGAGGAACTTGTTGAAGTAGCACGTGTCGCACACGGGCTGCAGGATGGCCATGATGAAGAAGGGCAGCCAGCACATGACGAAGGCCCCCGTGATGATGGCCAGCGTCTTGGCGGCCTTGCGCTCGCGCTTCGAGTCCATGGCCTCCTTCTTGCGCTTCGGGTAGTGGTGGTGCTGCGACGCCTGGAGGGAGAATGCGCAGCTTTCTGTTAAGGTGGGCACGCGGCTCGAGTCTTTAAAATGGGGGTCCACTGAGAGGAACTTTAATTTCCACAATCAACACAGAAAAGCATAGGGCGAACTGAAATTTTAAGGTTTTTGCTGAGACGATGGGCTAATTACCGAGTAGGGGCTGCAGGAGAGTTGGTCCGCGGTGGGCGGGTCCGCCTCCAGCCCGTTAGCGAAGGACGTCTTCTCCGGCGACGTGTTGTTGGAGGACACGTTGGTGAAGGCGGTGGTCGTGGTGGTGGTGGTGGCCTCCGAGATGGTGGGGAGCGGCCTGCCGATCATGCCCACCACCGCTGCGGCCAGCCCACCACTGCCGCCCGCTGCTCCTGCAACCAAGCCCACCATTAGACATCGGCGGCTCACAGTGGGCCAGAAGACCGGCGGCCAAAACTCTAGTCGCTAAATGGGACTGGAATCGAGCCTGTGACCCCATCTATGGATTCCTCGTTTGGAGAGCTATCCATTGGTGGGGTCACACGTTCGGTTCGAGTCCCATTCAGCGACTCTGGAGCTCAAAACGCGTCCGGGAGTCCGATCGCCCCCCCGGCAGTGGCGGCCGTCTGGCTCACCTGCCACGACGCCGCCCTGCGACGGGTTCCTGGCGCACGGCCCGCCGGGCACGGCCCTGCCGCCCACGGCCGAGGTCTGCACGCGGCGCCGGATGCGGCGCCGGGCCGTCTGGAAGATGCGCCAGTAGAGGCCCAGGATGACGAGCAGCGGCAGGTAGAAGGACGAGGCCGTGGCGAAGATCTGGTAGGCGATGTCCTGCGACACCATGCACTCCTGGTCCAGCGTCACGCGCTCGTCCCAGCCGGGGTCCTTCCAGCCCAGCATGGGCGCGATGCACACCATGAAGGCCACCAGCCACACCACCAGGATCATGAGGCCGATGCGGCGCGCCGTCCGCTGGTGTATGTAGTCGATGTTGGTCACCGCCCAGTACCTGCGACACCGCCACAGCACGTTTCTTTTCAGCTGCGGCTCTTGGAGGCACACACATACACACGTACGTCACAAACACTGGCTCACAATAGAGCGTGAGGCGGCAGAGAGCGCGCGACGCAGGAGTGTGAAATGTTGTCAAGAATTTAATTTTGCAACGCACAGAGCGGCGCAGAGCCCACTGACCCCCTCTCCCGCTTTGATACACGGTGTCCGAGGCATTTGCGGCGTGCGGCTGAAAGGGCGTACCCGAGGCCCGGAGGGCGTACCTGTCCAGGGCGATGGCCACCAGGTGGAGGATGCTGGCCGTGCAGCAGAGCACGTCGGACGAGGTCCACATGTCGCACAGCTCGGGCCCCAGCGTGCGGCTGAAAGGCGTACCGGCGCCCAGCGGCGTACCTGTCCAGGCATGGCCACCAGGTGGAGGATCTGGCCGGCAGCAGAGCACGTCGGAGTGGTCCACATGTCGCACAGCTCGGCCCCGCGTCCAGCGGCTATAAGGCGAGCGATCACGAGCACGTCTGCCAGCAGGCAGGCGAGGAGCGCGGCCAGAGGGCACGCGCGGTTCACAGTGGCGGGCCGACGCGGCCTGAAAGGAGGCGAGCGCCGCGGACCAGTGAGGGCGACGTCGAGAGGGCGTGGACCTAACTGGACCATGCAGTCCGAGTCCACGCGGCGGGTCCGACGGCACAGCCAGTCCACGCGGCGTCGAGCGGCACGGCGCCCGCGGATCAGAGGACGCGCCGCAGGTCCGCGGGCCTGCACACCCGAGACTCGGCGGGCGCTCGGCGTTGCTCGGCCAGTAAATACTGTTTAAACTTGATCCAGGCCCGCGGGAAGAATAGAATGTAACCATTTTCATCTGATAAGAATACACGCAACTCACGCAACTGAAACTGAACGAGAGCAATATCCACATCCAGATTTTACCTTGTGGATGCCTAGAAGGCAAGCTGAGTCTGGCATCATTTTCGACTCCTTGTGTGGCAACACTGTGGGCACAGTGCGGCTCTACTTCCCACTGACTTTGTCAACGTTAGCAGCGACGGTCGCACGGAGCGTAATAGTGCGTCTGGCTGCGGCTGAGGACGTCATCAGAGAGCTCTAGACTCCAGTCTCGAGTCGCGGCCGCAGGGGCCAGGCCGAGGGCCAGGCACGCCCGCCGCGCGCCAAGACGTAACTTACGGTGCAGTCCGCGGCTCGCATCGCTCTTCCGAGACTCTCGCGAGTCCCTTCCGGGGCCAGTGCGGCGCGGCGACGCGGCGAACGCGGTGACACATTACGGCGGCCTCTCGGGGGACAATTCCGGCTAGCGGCCCTAGCGGCGTGCCCTGCCCTGCCCTGCCCGCGTCCCGGACCCCGTTCCCGGAAAGTAATTCTTTGCCGCGACCCACGTCACCCGTCATGACGTCACGGCAGGGGCCGCCGCTTGTCAAGAGAGCGTCCAGATTCGGGATGCCCCTCACACCGCCCCACCCCGCCCCACCGTCCATTCCCACCCTTCCCCTCTCATCAACAAAACGACCCTGGAGCCTTTTTTATTCTCTCCCTGTGGAGAAGGCGAGCCTCCCGCTGCCCGCTCTCGGCTCGGTGTGTCATGCCCGCCCCTGGCTGCCCCTGCAGACTGAGAGTCGTTTTCGTCGCTCTGTCTCTCTCGCACTCATGGGGCGTCCCGTGTCGGTGCGAGACCGGGCGACGAAAACGAATCTCGGCATGGGTCTGCCGGCCGGACGCAAGAACGGCGTACCGGCCAGCGAGTGGCCGTGTGACACACTGGCGTACTTGCGCGCCGCTCTGTCTGGTGATCATCGTGTCCACTCTCGTTTTCCGCGACAAATGCGAAGCCGTGCGGAGCGCTGATTGTCAGAGGGCGGAGCACAAATTATCAGACATCAAGACCAGCGCGCGGTGGGGCGTGGCGTGACGAGGCCCATCAGAACGCCACTGACAGACAGGCTGACAGACAGAGAGACAGACAGACATACAGGCGCACACACTGAGAGCAACAGCAGCCGTCCGAAAAAGACAGCGCGTGACACGGCCCCGCCGCCCCGCCACGAGAGGGCCGATGTCAGCCGCCATTAATTACTCGTGTTTTTCCCGGCGAGTCCGCCAGTCCAGCCGGCCGCCAGCCTGGCTAATGTAGCGCGATAAAAACACATTGGCAGTCCGGCCGCACAGCAGGCCGCCGCCGCACAGTGGGCCAGAAGACCGCCGCAGGCGGCCAAAACTCTAGACGCGTTTCGAGCTCCAGAGCCGCTAAATGGGACTCGAACCGAAGGTGTGACTCCACCAATGGATTGCTCTCCGAACGACGAATCCATTGGTGGGGACACACGTTCGGTTCCAGCTGTTTAGCGACTCCGGAGCTCAAAACGCGTCAAGAATTTTGTCCGCCCCCGCCGGCCTTCAGGCCCACTGCGGGACGCCGCCGCCAGCCCCGCCGCCAGCCCCGCCGCCAGCAACGCAAAACCTATGGAGCGGTTCGAGCGGCACACGCACCCCTCCGCCCCCGCCTCCGCCCGGGTGCCCTGCAGAGTGCAGGCCGATTCCCAACAGTGTTTTCCGTCGCCCTCTCTTCTCTCCATCTCTCTCCCACCGCTGAGCAACGCACGATGAGTGCGACAGAGTCAGAGCTCAGTTCGGAATCAGCCTCTGGCCGCCCGACCGCCGCGGCGCCGGGCACGTTCCCCGGAAAAAGCAAGGCCCGGAGGCCGGGGGCGCGGCGGCGCGCCGAGACGCCACAGTGGTGTGGGGAGGGGAGGGGGTGGGGGGACGTGTAGATGAGCCCTTTTGTTGGCATCCCGACGGCGGGGTCGGGCCTGGGCCGGGCACGGCCGGGCCGCCCGGACGGACGGCTTGTATTATTTCTGCGGGGGATGGAGCATAGAGCGCGGGAATGGGCCGCGCAGGCCGGGCAGGCAGCAGCAGCAGGCAGCACGAAGCAGCAGCAGGCGGAGAAGGAGGAGAAGCTCTCTCTCCTTATGGTCTTTTCACGCGGCGCGCTTGGAGGAGGCGCGCGTGCGCCGCGGCCTGGTTTGCGCATGTGTGCTGCCTGTGTGTTGTCTATGTGTTGTCTGTGTGTTATCTTTGTGCTGTCTGTGTGTTATCTTTGTGCTGTCTGTGTGTTGTCTATGTGTTGTCTGTGTGCTGTCTGTGTGTTGTCTGTGTGCTGTCTGTGCTGTCTGTGTGCTGTCTGTGTGTTGCCTGTGTGCTGTCTGTGCTGTCTGTGTGCTGTCTGTGTGTTGTCTGTGTGCTGTCTGTGTGTTGCCTGTGTGCTGTCTGTGTTAGACTGTGTGCGTGTCGCTCCTCGTCGCCCCCATTGCGCGGGGGAGGCACGAGGTAAGCCTGCGCCCCGCCCGCTACCGGAGCCCCGCCTGCTCCTGCTCCGCTTCCCCAGTCGCGGCTATCTTCCGCACGAGCGACTTCATTATTGGTATTGCCGACGTGGTACATTGCTCGACTGCCTGAAAGCAAAGTGCTGAAAGCAGAAAGGGGGAAAGGGGGAGGGGGGGGGGAGCGAAGCGCTCGGCGCAGAAGAGAGGAAGAAAGATTTGCCTCGCTCGTGTTTCTGTTTCTTTAACTCGCCTTTCTGGGTGAGTTCCTTCTAGGGAGAGCTGAAGCATATATGCTAGCGCTGCCGGTGCTACAAACACACGCCAGGTTGTACACAGTAAATTTTTTAAAAGAAAAATCAACCATAGCTATCAGTTTTGGGTCTTTTGTTCGACTGCATGTATACCGAGGTTCCGAGACGGCCGAAACCACTCGTAATCAGTCTACTGATGCGAACGGCCAAGTCCGAGTCAACATTGATCCGAAACGCGACACATGCGAGACATTGTTGTCGAATGACAACCGCGGCGCCCCGTCCGCGGCGGTCCGCGAGCAGCGCGTGCCGCGAGTGTGCAGTGGCGCCACGGCCTGCCCAGGGCCTGCCCAGGGCCCGCCCGTCGTCTGCATTGTCTCCTGCACTGTGTCAGCGGGTCGCCCCGCCCCCGTTTCTCCGGCCCAGCCGGCAGCACGAGATGCACGGGATGCACGAGACGCACACACCAGCAGCACCGTCCTCCACTTTTCCCTCGCTATTGTTCGCCCTCCCCTCCCCTCCCCCACCCCCACCTCGCTGGCGTAGCAACGAAAATAACGAGACGCGCCTTCGTCGCTCCGCTTGTCGCGCATCACTGAACCGGACTCAGCCACGCGGGCCGCGCCGCCGCGCCGCCGCATCCGGTCGGATCATCCCGGGATATTGGCCAGTAATGACTCTCCGACTGTGTGAGCGCGTGTGTGCGTGTGTGTGTGTGGGGGGGGGCAGCGCTCGCTCCCCGGTCATGAATCGACTCCATGGGGAGAAAGAAAGACAAAGCAAGAGAAGCTGAGGGGGAGGATTGGATGCCTGGAGAGACACTCCGGGAAATTAAATCTGGCCCGTGCATCGCTGCGGGAATAAGCCCTCGACCGTCGCGGAAGTATGGAAGTGTGGAGTGGCATTGGGATCGGGGGAGTTGGCTCTGGGACGGCGGCCCGTCGGTGCGCCCCGCTCAGCGATTACGAATAGCGAACGTTGCTCTGTCTGCCTGCGGCGAGCGCGCGTCTCGGAGCCGCCGTGAGTGCGAGAGAGACAGAGCGACGGCACCACTGTTCGGAATCGGCCCGCTGCTCCGGCGAGGCGCGGCGCGGCGCGCAGGATTGTCCGCGACTTTCCAATATGTCGGATGAGCACTGCGCCTGGCTGGCTGGCTGGCTGGCTGGCTGTCTGGCTGTCTGCGCCGCTCCGGGCGTGCTGCGTACGCCGTACGGACTGAACGCGTCGGCTTTCAGCCTTTCGGCTTACGCGCCGCTCCAGCAGACTGATTCCGAGAGTCGTTCTCGTCGCTCTGTCTCTCTCGCACTCATGGGGCGCCCCGTATAGGTGCGAGAGAGACAGAGCGACGAAAACGACTCTCGGATTGCAGTCTCCAGCCGTGGCTCCAGCCGGACCGGCCTGGACAATCCCCCCGGCCGGGCCAAGCGAGGGCCGAGGGGCCAGGCTGACAATCGAATCCCGTTGTGGCCACGTTTTTTTCTGTCCCTTTTCAATTCGGGCCGCCCTTTTGTACGTATCCCTGCTGCACGGCCACGGCCGCAACGCGCACCGCTTTGCAGCCATTGTCGGCGCTGAGGGCGGCGAGGGTGGCGGGCTGCATCGGGGATCCCCTTAACCCACATATATAGTGACGTGTCATCAGAAGGCCGGCATGTTCGGCCCGGAGCCTCCCCGGAGTGGGGTTCTGGGTTCAAGTACGGTCGGGGCGGGGAAGGCTCCGAAATCGGCCGGGGTGGTCGGGGGTGGCCCGGCCGGGGTGGCCAGGCCACATTACCATGACTACTTGCCTATGA